GACCCATAGTGACCATACATATAGTTTCTGATGCTGTAAATCTTTATGGGAGCAGAAAACCTCATCTTTCCCACACAAAACTGCTGGTAGTTTCAAACTGCTTTCCTTGAGGTTAGCAACCCAATTCATAGCCACTATGCTACTAGAACTTTTTAAAGTGTTGAGGAGCAGAGATGTCAGCTTGAGGACTAAGGTGTGCCTGACCCAAGCCATGGTATTTTCAATAACCTCATATGGATGTGAAAGCTGGACAATGAATAAGGAAGATCGTAGAAGAATTGATGCCTTTGAGTTGTGGTGTTGGAGGAGAATACTGAAAGTGCCATGGACTGCCAAAAGAACCAATAGATCTGTTTTGGAAGAAGTGCAGCCAGAGTGCTCCTTGGAGGCCAAGATGGCTAGGCTTCGTCTCTCATGCTTTGGACATATTGTCCAGAGGGAACAGTCGCTGGAGAAGGATGTCATGCTGGGTAAGATGGAGGATCAGAGAAAAAGAGGAAGACCCCCAACGAGATGGATCAGCCAGGTGGCATCAATGATGGCGTCAAGTGTGGCAGCGGTAGTGAGGTTGGCACAGGATCGGACATTGTTTCGTTCTGCTGTGCATGGGGTCGCTATGAGTCGGTTCCGACTCGATGGCACCTGACAACAACAACAATGCTACCAGAGCTCCTTTTCAATAGGTTACCATCAGCTAATTACAGGGCAATTTTAATAATTTGACAGGATATATATTTTTTTAATGATCCTCTACACTATAAACATATTAAAATATGTCACATTGATAATACATATGAACACACATATGTTGAGAAGAAGTTAATTGTGCTATATTTACTTAAGCACATAAATTTTAACTTCACAGTCTTTGATTTGTATTTTATGGTCAATATTTTTGAGGCGGGAGATGGTGTTTGAACAATTTGTCATAGGCCTAATATGTTCATATGTTATGGACATTATATTTTCCCATGGCATATGAGCATACTATTTTTGTTGTTAGGTACCACTGAGTTAGCACCAACTCATAGCAACCATATGCACAAGATTATGAAACGCTGGCCGTTTCTGCACAAATGTCACAATTGTTGCTATGTTTGAGCCCATTGCTGCTGCCACTATGCCAATTCATTTCATTGCAGTCTTCCCTCTTTTTATCTGACCCTCTACTTTACCAAACATGGTATATTTCTCAAGGGACTGGTCCCTCCTGATAATATGTCTGAAGGATGAGAGACAAAGTCCAGCCATCCTGGCTTCTAAGGAGCATTCCAGCTGTACTTCTTCCAACACAAATTTGTTTGTTCCTTTGACAGTTCACGGTACTATTAATATTGTTCTCCAATACCATAACTCAAATGAATCAATTTACTATGGTCTTCCTTATTCACTTTCCAACTTCCACTTGTCTACGAGGTTACTGAAAATGCCATGGCTTGCGCCAGGTGCACCTTAGACCTTAAACTGACATCTTTCCTCTTGAACACTTTAAGCAGGTCTTGTGCAATAGATTTGCCTAATGTGTTATATCATTTGATTTCTTGACTGCTGTTTCCATAAGTAAGGATGGTTGATTGGAGCAATATAAAATCTTTGACAACTTCAACTTTTTCTCTATTTATATGGATGTTCTTTTATCAGTCCAGTGGTGGGGATTTTAGCTTTCTTTACATTGAAGTACAACCCATACTGAAGTCAGTGGTATTTGATATTCATCAGTAAGTATTTTGGTGAAGGTTATATCATCTGCATACCTCATGCTGTTAAAGAGTTTTTCTCCAATTGTGATTATCACAGTTTTCTTCATATAATCAGCTTCTTGGGTTATGTGCTCAGCATGCAGACTGAATAATATGGTGAAAGAATACAACTTTGGTGCGCATCGTTTCTAATTTTAAACCTTTCAGTGTTCCCTTATTCTGTTCAAGCAACCGCCTCTTGTTCTAGGTACAGGTTCCTCACAAGCACAGAAGTGTTCCGGGATACTCATTCTTCACAATGCTGTCCATAGCTTGTCACAATCCACACAATTGAAGGCCTTTGCACAGTCAATAAAGCACAGGTAAACATATTTCTGGTATTCTCTGCTTTCAGCCAAGATTCATTTGACATCAACAATAATATCCCTCATTCCACGTCCTCGTCTGACAATTCAACCTCTGTCAGTTCTTTGTCAATGTACAGGTGTAGCCATTTTTAAATTATCTTTCGCAAAACTTTACTTGCATGTGATATTAATGATACTGTCCGATGATTTCCACATTCCATTGTTCACCTCTCTTTGGAATGGCACAAATTTGGATCTTTCCCTGTTAGTTGGTCAGGCAGTTGGCCTCCAAATATCCTGGCATAGATGAATGAGTGCCTCCAGTGCTGCATCAGTTTGTTGAATGATTTCTGGTTGTATTCTTTCAATTCCTGGAGATTTACTCTTTGCCAATGACTTCAATGTACCTTAGACTTCTTACATCAGTATCATTGGCTCTTGATCAGATGCTTCCCTTGAAATGGTTGAACATTGACCATTTCTTTTTGGTACAGTGATTGTGTATTTCTTCGATCTTCTGATGCTTTCTGCATCATTCATTCTTTTGCCCATTTGTTGTTGTTAGGTAACATTGAGTTGGTACTGACTCATAGTGACCCTATGCACAACAGAATGAAACACTGCCCGATCCTGGGCCAACCTCACAATTGTTGCCACACTCAAGCCCACTGATGCTGCCACCTTGCTAATCCATCTCGCTGGGGATCTTCCTCTTTTTCTCTGACCCTCCACCTTACCAAATATGATATCCTTTTCCAGTGACATTGCCCATAGAACCCTTCAATATTGCAAATCGAGGCTTAAATTTTTCTTCAGTTGCTCAGCTTAAGGGATGTTGAGCATATTCTTCTCTTTTGGTTTTCTAACTCCAGGTTTTTGTACATTTTGCTATAATATCGGACTTTGTTTTCTTGAGCTGACCTTTGAAATTTTCTATTCAGCTCTTTTACTCCCTCATTTCTTCTGTTTGCTTTAGCATCTGTATGATAGAGAGCAAGTTTCAGAGTCTCTTCTGATATTCCTTTTGGTCTTTTCCTTCTTTCTTGTCTTCTTAATGAGCTTTTGCTTTCTTCCTGTATGATGCTCTTAATGTTTTTCTGGTCTTTTGTGTCTAATGCACCAAATCTGTTCTTTAAATGATATTTAAATTCAGGTGGCATATGTTCAACATCATGATTTGGCCATGTAGACATGTTTTAATTTTCTTCAGCTTCAGATTAAACCTGCAATTGATAGTATGTTCCAAAGTCTGCCCCTGGCCTTGTTTTGGCTGATGATATGACACTTTTCCACTGTCTCTTTCCACAGATAGTCAATTTGATTTATGTGTATTTCACCTGGTGAGGTCCATGTGTGTAGTCATCTTTCATGTTGTTTAAAAAAAGGTATTTGCAATGAAGAAGTCATTGGTCTTGTAGAATTCTATCATGCGATCTCCAGCATCATTTCTATTTTCCAACTACAGATCTTTCTTATTTGCTTCCAAACTTTGATCTTCCTAGTAGGCATATGGGTATTATCCTATAACAGACAGCACTGTACTTCAAGGAAAATCTTGATATCGTCCTTCTCATGATGAATATGATGCCGTTCCTCTTCAATTTGTCATTCCCAGCGTAGTAATCCATGTGGTTGTCAGATTCAAAATGGCCAATACCATCTCATTTCAGCTCACTAATGTTAGGATATCTATGTTTATGCATTCCACTTTTTTTTTCACAACTTCCAATTTTCTAAGATTCATAATTAGTATATTCCATAATATGATCACTGAAGGATGTTTATAGCTGTTTCTCTTCACTTTGAGTTTTGCCCAACAGTAAATGAAAATCCTAAAGGCTATCTCCAATCGTATCATCATGGTCAACTCTACTCTAAGGACGCATCTCTTCCCCAGTCGTATTTTGAATGCCTTCCAACCTGTGGGGCTCAATCTTCCAGTGCTATATCTGACTGACAATATTCTAGAGCTCTTCACAATTTTTTAATATTCAATATTCTGGTGCATTCTCACAGTGGTGCACTGTTATTCATAAGGCTTTTCAGTGACTAAAATATTTGTCTCTTCTTTTTCCTAGTCTATCTTGGTCTGAAAACTCTGCTGAAACCTGTCTACCATGAATGACCCTGACAGTTTTTAAAATCCTGGTGCCATAGCTTTCCGAATCACAGAAATTGGTGGATTTGAAGTGGAGATCTTTGGTTATCCTATGGTGCCACACCAGGACTCTGTGTATATATAATTACCTGTGGGTTTAAACTACCGACATTGTTGCTAGCCTATAGCATATATGGAGTCGTTGTGTGCAACCATAAGATAATCACAAGGTCTGTGTGCATACTAGATAAATATAATGGATAAAAAGGTCATGACTGATAAATACATATCTTGTTACTTTTTTTTAAGTACACCGATTCTGACTCAAGAGTCTCTACAGGGTTTCTTTGGAATAGTTTGTGTCTGAACCTTTGACCTTGTGGTTTGCAGTCCAGTGCTTATCCTACAGTGCTATACTACATATATATACATAAGAATACTACATATATATAAAAGTATTCCATGTAAATTAACATTTAAGGTAAATATAATGGATAAAGAAGTCCTAAATGATACTTACATGACTAAGCATAAGTCATTAATTCACTTTGTTGTTTTTAAGTGTCATTGACTGGGTTCTGAGTCCTAGTGAGCTTATATAGGGGTTCCAATGGTGAGTTTGAACCTTGGACCTTGAGGTTCAAATTGACCTTGTGCTTATCCTACAGCACCACACCAGGAATCCACTTTAAGAACATGAAATAAGGTGGACCAATGGTGCAACTGCTATAACTGATTAATTCTGAGCAAATGCATATTAATTCAAACCTCTGCAGTTTCTAAAAGGAAGCATTTGGTGCATTGCTTCCTCTAATCCAGGACTTTGGTCTTTGAAGTACAGTGATTAATACAAACCTGAGCATATGCGCAGCATTGAAAACGACATCAAACTCCGTGCTGTCTAACTCAGCTGCCTTTTTTGCCATCTCAGCTGCTTCTAGGAGACGAGCTTCTTCCAGAAGAAACTGACCTGCAAAGTAGGAAAGCAAGTGTTCTTGAACTTGGAAAATATTATTATGAAACAATATAGTTGCTATCATAGAAGAAATATTAGAACAGCAATAAAAGCAACCTGAAGTTAAGATTTATATGCACTTCTACATGCTCATTATGTAGCCATAATTGATTTGTCTTTCCCTTAATTGCAGGACCTTCCTAAATTATTTTCTGGAAGACTTTTCTTAATATTCCTAAAAAAACAAAACCCCGTAGACTATACAAGAAAGAAATAACATGAGCAAATTTAAAGATAAATATTACAAACAAGAATTGAATTGGTTGTGCAGAACTTTATTGGTTATATAAAACTTATACCTATGATGTGTATACTCAAACAGCTATTTCCATGTACACTGAGATATTCATTTCTTACATTTAAGTAACACTAGTGGGATGTTGTGGCATCAGCACTGGACTGCGAACCACAAGCTCAGTAATTCAAACCCACCAGCTGCTCCTCGGAAACCCTATACAGGTTCACTATAAATCAGAACTGATTCGACAGCACTTAATAACAACAACAAAGTTATTTAAAGAACAGAGAAATAGAGAAATGTCAGCCTAACAATAACTAACTGTAAATGCACTGGACTGCAAGGTTGGTTTGAACCACAAGGTCGGCAGTTCAAGTTCACCAGCCGCTTCTCAGAAACCCCATGCAGAGTTACTATGAGTCGGAACCAACTTGTCAGCATTTAGCAGCAGCAGTAACAACAAAAGAGATGTAAAAATGATATGAAGTCCTGAGCTGTGCACAATAACAGGAAAGCTTTAAAAATTGCAATTGTTACTTGCTGGTCGTTGAAAGAGCCCATTATTTTCTATTTAGTTAATGTTGTTAAGTGCCATTGAGTCTTCTCCAACTCACAGTGATACTGCATAGGTTTTCTGAGGCATGGCTGGTGGGTTTGACTGCCAACCTTGTGGTTCAAATCGACCTTGTGATCCAATGCTTTATCCTAAAGCATCTTTACTCTACAGCTATACGGAACTGTAGTATAACACACTGGATTTAGCTATATATATATTGCAAATTATCATGTAAACTAAACAGACCAACTGCTTAAGATACAAGAAGACATTTTCAGTTTTAAGGATTAGTACCAGATTGCTAACTTCAAGGTTCAAACCCACCAGCTGTTCCTCTAGAACTCCATAAAGTGTTGCTAGGAGTTAGAATTGATTCAACAACGTTTAGCAACAATAAAAATTTAAATAGTAAAAAATGGGAAGTAAAGATACACCTAGGATTATGAGGCCAATGTTTTTGAAAAAATGAGTGACAGTTTTTAAGACCAGTGCTTGGAGACTCCTAAGTCATTTCTATAGTTTATGTGGTTAATGTAACTTAATTGCATACTAATAAAAATGTTGAATTGGGAAATATTGTGCTATATATTTTTTTATATCAAAAACAGTAATAATAAAAATATCCTTTACATCACTTTCTTAATTTGTCAACTAACATACGGTGCTTAACTCATCTCCCCAAACAAGCAAATTAAGGTCAGAAAATTATTAAGGCAACAGAGCTATTAACAAGTATATTTAAAAATAGGAAACACATTACTTCTGAGATTCATGCATATGTTGCCTGCCTCTATAGATACATAGCTATGAAATGAAAGTTAAAGTACATGTTTAAAAGATTTGTTGTTGTTGTTAAGTGGTGTCAAGTTGATTCTGACCCATAGTGACCCTGTATAAGGTTTCTGAGGAGCAGGTGGTGAGCAGAACCACCAACCTTGCAGTTCAAAAGATAGCAAAATAAAAATTAAGCAATTTGTGGTATACTGACAAATATTTCTACATTTATATCTCAACAGGGAGTGTGGTGGTTCTGTAGGGAAAGCAGTGGACTGTGAATCACAGACTGGTTGATTCCGCTAGACCTAGACTACATACACCTTCCTCAGTATACTAATCTTACTGCTTCACATTTCTTCCTGAACTCTCAGGCTGTATAGTAGCCTGCCTTATTTTACTCCAATCTCCAGTTCTGTCATGACTATCTAGTATAATTGCCCATCTTTCAGTTTGATGCCCAAAAACCTTTCTTTCTCAAGGAAGTATTCTTTGACTAGAATCCGAAAGTGTTAAATTGTCATTTAAGTTGACCACAGTATAAATCATCTTATAAACGAAGGCACTTCTATGAGTTAAAAGGTGGTTATATAATTAATTAAGCTTGATCAAGGGGTGTAAACTAGAGCTGTGTTAATATGGCCACCCTACTTATAGCATCAACAGAAAATTGCCAGAAATTCAAGCTGGATTTAAAAGAGGACATGGAATACATTGCTAACATCAGATAGATCCTGGATACCAGAAAGATATTTACTGTTGTTTTATTGACTATGCAAAAGCATCTGACCGTATGAATCATAACACATTATAGATAACATTGAAAAGAAAGAGAATTCCAGAACACTTTATTGTCCTCATGCAGAACCTACACATACATCAAGAGGCAGTCAGTCATTCAAACAAAACGAAGGAATACCGAACAGTTTTAAATCAGGAAAGATGTGTGTCAGGGTTGTATCCTTTCAACATACTAATTTAGTCTAGTTTAAAAAATTGGACTATATGAAGAACACAGCATCAGGACTGGAGGAAGGTTCATTTACCATTGACATTCAGACAACACAGCTTTGCTCACTGAAGGCCAAGATCAGAGAATATAGCCTTCAGTATGGATTACAAGTGAATGCAAAGAAAACAAAAATCCTCCCAACTGGGCTAATAAACAACATCACGATAAACTTAGAAAACACTGAAATTGTCAAGGATATAGTTTTATATGGATCCATAATCAAAGTTCATGGAAACAGCAGTCAAAAAATCATAAGAGGTATGGCATTCGACAAATCTGCAAAAGACCCTTTCAAGTGTTAAAGAGAAAAGATGGCCCTTTGAGAGCACCTATGTGACTACACTAACGTGCACTTGAGCTAAGCTATGGCATTTCCAATCACTTCATTCACATGTGAAAGCTAGACAGTGAATGAAGAAAACCAAAGAAGCATTGGTGTATTTGAATTATGGTGCTGGTGAAGAATACTGAACATGCGTACCTTGGACTTCCAGGAGAACAAACAAATTTGTTTTAGAAGTACAAAGAATGCTTCTTAGTGTGAGGATGTCAAGACTTCATCTTACATGCTTTAGACATATTATTAGTAAAGGCCAGTTCTATGAAAGGGGTCCTGGTGTGGCACTAGACTGCGAGTTGGCGGTTCAAACTCACCAGCCGCGAGTTGGCGGTTCAAACTCACCAGCCGCTTCTTGGAATCCCTATATAGGGTTGCTATGGCTTGGAACTGTTTAAATAGCACTCAACAACATTAATAAGTCCTTGGAAAAGGACATTAGGCAGCAAAAAAAAAAAAAAAATTCATCTCAATAAGATGAATTTACACAGTGGCTACAACAATGGGTTCAAACAAAACAACTCTGTGGATGGCTCAGAACCAGACAATGGTTTCTACTGTTGTACACAGGAGTGCTATGGATTGGAACTGACTTGCCAGCACTGAACAACTTATAGCATATGTGGCAGGATGTGGGTTTCAATCTGCTCATGTTTACTACTATTGGGAAGCACACACTAAACACACAAGGAATCACTGCTCGTAATGAGAAGTAATTAATAAAAGCAAAATAGAAATGTTACACTCATAGGTGTTCGTCACCACTGAAGAATATGAGGATCTACTGTTTAGAAGGACTCCTGGTGTGGCCCTGTGGGTTAATGCGCCAGACTGCAAAGCCAAAGAACTGCAAGGTTGGCAATTCAAGCTCACCAGCTGCTCCTCTGAAACCCTATACAGGGCCGCTATGGGTAGGAATCGACTCAATGGAACTTAACAATAACAACAATTGTTTAGAAGGACTCCTGGTGTGGTGCTGTAGGATCAGCATTGGACTGGGAATCACAAGGTTAGCAGTTCAAAACCAATAGTTGCTCTTCAGAAATCCTATACAGGGTCGTTATGATTGAGAACTGAGTCAGCACTTAACAACATCATTGTTTAGCAGTGGCGGTTCAGTGGTCGAATTCTCATCTTGTATATGGGAAATGAGGTTTCAATTCCTAGCTAATGTACCTCATGCATAGCCACCAACTGTCAGTGCTCCTACGAAATGAACAGGTATCAGCGGAGCTTCAGAGAGAAGGAACAAAAGCTTGGTGATGTACTTCAAAAAATCAGCCCATGAGCCCTGTATAAAACAGTAGTCACATCCACAACTGATCATGAAGATGGTGCACAGGGTTGGGCAGTATTCTGCTCCACTGTGCATGGAGAGTTGCAGTTGACTTGATGCCTGCTGACAATAAAAATATTGTTGAGCCCACAAAGGCTGAGAAAAATCCTGAAACTCAGGGAGTGGGAGTAGCTGCTGGGGCTCACAGAGTGAGGGAAACTTCAAGATGGAGCCTGAGCTCTATGGGGACTAGGGAAGTTCAAATGGAAAAAGAGAACTTGAGGAAGGCAAGGATTTTAGAGACTGCATCCTCATTGATGGATTATGCAAGGTTACCTTTTTCACTGGTTCTTTCCATCTAGTGCACATCAGGATAACCTGGGAGGGTGTGGTAAAATAGAAGTAGGCCAATCCCCAGAGCTTCTGACCCACTGGATCTAGGGTGGAGCATAAGACTAATCTAACTGGTTCCTAGGTGATGCTGATAGCTATTAGTCACTGGCTGTCCACATTTTGTGATCCAGTGGCTTATGTGAAAAACAAAATAAGTATCTGCACCATACTTTGAACTCTTATTATGTCTAGGAGATTACAGTTAGACTGAACTTTCCTTCTAATCAACTGCACCTGATATGTTTTGCCCAATATAATGAGGCACAATGGCCAGTCTATCCATATGCATGTGTGTAGAAAGATCCATGTCAGAATAAGGGGAACACATGGCACTAAACATAAGTTCATGCTCTCAAAACTCTTTTAAGA